TGAGGAACCTCTTCTACAGGTGAGGAACCTCAGGTGAGGAGAACCTCCACCCTGCAGGTGAGGAACCTCTTCTACAGTTGAGGAACCTCAGGTGAGGAGAACCTCCACCCTGCAGGTGAGGAACCTCTTCTACAGGTGAGGAACCTCAGGTGAGGAGAACCTCCACCCTGCAGGTGAGGAGTCCCTCCGGCCTGCAGGTGAGGAACCTCAGGTGAGGAGAACCTCCACCCTGCAGGTGAGGAACCTCTTCTACAGTTGAGGAACCTCAGGTGAGGAGAACCTCCACCCTGCAGGTGAGGAACCTCTTCTACAGGTGAGGAACCTCAGGTGAGGAGAACCTCCACCCTGCAGGTGAGGAGTCCTTCCGGCCTGCAGGTGAGGAACCTCTTCTACAGGTGAGGAACCTCAGGTGAGGAGACCCTCCGCGCTTAGTTACTCTATTTAACCCTAACTCTCTCCCCCCCCCCCCTCAGGAAAGTGACCTCCCGGAGCAGAGCACCGTTCATGTGGTCCTCCCCCCTTCGGACTCCTCCCCCCCCCTCCCCCCTTCGGACTCCTCCCCCTCCCTCCCCCCTTCTGACTCCTCCCCTTCCCTCCCCCCTTCGGACTCCTCCCCCTCCCTCCCCCCTTCTGACTCCTCCCCTTCCCTCCCCCCTTCTGACCCCCAAACAGGGGGAGGAGCATCAGACGAGGTTCCGGCTGCAGGTGAGACAGGTGAGTCTGTTGGCATCACTGCATTCAAAGCAAACGACCCAAATGAATAAAGCAGTGATGAAAGCAGAAGCGTTGACTTGCTGCAGGTCTCTGGTCTCAATGGGATTGACCTGGTTCCATTACTCTGCAGTAACTGCATGGAACCAGGTCAATGGGATTGACCTGGTTCCATTACTCTGCAGTTACTACATGGAACCAGGTCAATGGGATTGACCTGGTTCCATTACTCTGCAGTTACTACATGGAACCAGGTCAATGGGATTGACCTGGTTCCATTACTCTGCAGTAACTGCATGGAACCAGGTCAATGGGATTGACCTGGTTCCATTACTCTGCAGTGACTAAATGGAACCAGGTCAATGGATTGACCTGGTTCCATTACTCTGCAGTTACTACATGGAACCAGGTCAATGGGATTGACCTGGTTCCATTACTCTGCAGTAACTGCATGGAACCAGGTCAATGGGATTGACCTGGTTCCATTACTCTGCAGTGACTAAATGGAACCAGGTCAATGGGATTGACCTGGTTCCATTACTCTGCAGTTACTACATGGAACCAGGTCAATGGGATTGACCTGGTTCCATTACTCTGCAGTTACTACATGGAACCAGGTCAATGGGATTGACCTGGTTCCATTACTCTGCAGTTACTACATGGAACCAGGTCTCTGGTCTCAATGGGATTGACCTGGTTCCATTACTCTGCAGAGTACCTGCATGGTCTGTCCATGTCTCCACCCTAACAGACCATGTAGTCACTCTGCAGAGTACCTGCATGGTCTGTCCATGTCTCCACCCTAAGAGACCATGTAGTCACTCTGCAGAGTACCTGCATGGTCTGTCCATGTCTCCACCCTAACAGACCATAATGTTCTCTGTTCTCTTCAGGTTCCTGCAGTTCTTTCTTCGTGTTCTGTAAGACCTGCAGGTCGGTGCAGCCGGGGAAGCTGAGGGTCCGCTGCAAGACCTGCAGGAACACAACGCTGACTCTCAGCAGGGTGAGAGACTCAGGGGGAAGACTCATGATGCTGACTCAGGTCAGGGGGAAGACTCATGATGCTGACTCAGGTCAGGGGGAAGACTCATGATGCTGACTCAGGTCAGGGGGAAGACTCATGATGCTGACTCAGGTCAGGGGGAAGGACTCATAATGCTGACTCATGTCAGGGGGAAGACTCATGATGCTGACTCAGGTCAGGGGGAAGACTCATGATGCTGACTCATGTCAGGGGGAAGGACTCATAATGCTGACTCAGGTCAGCGGGAAGGACTCATAATGCTGACTCAGGTCAGGGGGAAGGACTCATAATGCTGACTCAGGTCAGGGGGAAGGACTCATAATGCTGACTCAGGTCAGCGGGAAGGACTCATAATGCTGACTCAGGTCAGGGGGGAAGGACTCATAATGCTGACTCAGGTCAGCGGGAAGGACTCATAATGCTGACTCAGGTCAGGGGGAAGGACTCATAATGCTGACTCAGGTCAGCGGGAAGGACTCATAATGCTGACTCAGGTCAGGGGGAAGGACTCATAATGCTGACTCATGTCAGGGGGAAGGACTCATAATGCTGACTCAGGTCAGGGGGAAGGACTCTAATGCTGACTCAGGGGAAGGACTCATAATGCTGACTCAGGTCAGGGCGAAGGATTCATAATGCTGACTCATGTCAGGGGAAGGACTCATAATGCTGACTCAGGTCAGGGGGAAGACTCATGATGCTGACTCAGGTCAGGGGGAAGACTCATGATGCTGACTCAGGTCAGGGGGAAGACTCATGATGCTG